AAAAAAAAATCAATAATCTAAATAAATTATTAAATAAAAGTATGGAAATCTAAAGATTTCCATGCTTTTATTTGATAAATACCCGTTAATGCACATACCGTATTTGCAATGATCTTGTAAAAAGGTTGAAAATAGTATATTTTTTCAAAAGGTATGTCAGCTTTGGCAAACAATTTAACAAAGTCGAGAACAAATTGTTCTCTACCATTATAAAGCTTACTACAGGTAGTAAGTGTACGTTGGGTAGGGGTATCTTCCTGAGGTTTTTCAAGTACCTTCTTTTTTTTTTTTTATGGGTGGAAGATGCCAAATGATTATCTATCACTAATTTTTTTTCATGTGAAACTGTATCTTGGCAAAATCGACAAAAGAGCTTTCCTCCGTCCGCATAAAGATCATTCTTATATGTTGGGTTTTTAAAAAGCCGTCCTGTGGCCATAACCATATTATTTCTAAAAAATTTTTTTTTTTTTTTCAAACCACCAAAACTTTTTTTTTTTTTAAAAAAAAAAAAAAAAAAAAACTTTAAGGTTTTTCAGTTTTTGTTTTCAAAAGTTGAAGATTTGTCACATTTATCAATTTCAGATATTGATTTGTTACCTTTATTAAATGATATTTGTACGTAGTACTAGTTCAATTTAGATTTACCAATCATATTTTAGCCACATGATCTAAATGCTTTTTTTTGTTCAATTATGCAAAGTATATGTGATGCGAAAAAATAGTTGATTATGCACATAATGCTGTATCGCATAATCCTAGATACCCTAATAGGTACGTGCAAAATCACGTGAATTGGTACGTGCCCATCAGAAACACAGAAAAATTATTTTGATTTAAAGTAAAAATTTCGATCGATTTTAGTAAAAATTTCGATTTATTTCGAGCTATTTGAGTGAAAATTTCAATTTATTTCGATTAAACAAAAATAAAAATTTTAACCATTTTAAGCAAAATTTTTAATTCAGTTTTATTAATTCTATTTAAAACTATTTAAAACGATAATTCTGAACGATTATAATATAAAATATTAAGCATTTGAAGAGAATCTTGGCTTAAATTTTCTCTATTCTCATTCAAAATATTATTATAAACAGAAAAGCTACGTTCTACACTATATGATAAGAGTGGTAACCAAATATAATCTAAAGCAATTTGGCTTAAAAGAGGTAAATTGTATGAAATTTTTTGCCAAAATTCTTCTAAATTTGAATACTCTATTGAAAATGGATCCAAATTACAATACCTAACCCAATCTTGAATAAGTTCATATGAAAGATCTGAAAATTCACGAATCAAAGTACTATAAGAAAGAATATCTTTAGACGAAGTAATATTAATGAATTTTGGATCAAATATTTGCGATGCTTTAAAAAGCGCACGAGAGAGGTGATTTGAAATATGATTATTAAATTTTTTTGAAGCAGCGTCATAAGCTGACCTAAATATTGGTAAAAATGCTTGGGGATCAAAATTAAGATTTTGAATTAAAGAAATTAAAGACCCATCCAAA